ATACAAATATATTATATAAATTATTTAATATTTGTCCATAAATAAAAATAAATTCTTATCAAAATAAAAATAATCTTTATAAATACTAAAGATATTCTAAATAATTTCTCTCTCTCTCTATATATATATATATATATACAGTATATGTATCTAATGTGATTTATATATTTTGAAAATTAAAAAGAGAAAGAAATTTAATATATATAATTTTTAGTATATAATTTTTTTTTTACAATTTAAAAGAATTAATAAAAGTATTGTCCGTTTTTTTGGATTAATAAATACGAAACTTAAATTATAATTTTCTCACACTTTCAGTAGCCTATTTTTTTACCCTTTTTACGTTTTTTTTCTTTCCGTTTTCTTGTTTGAACATCACCAGACATCTTCTGCGCCAGAAATCTTCTGCACCAGAAAATAAGCTTATACTTTTTATAATTGAATAAACAGAAAAAGTTAACTTTTTTAAAAGTCGAACATAGAACCGCCTCTATAATAATTTGATTTGTAATGACTTCAACAAGTGTTGACATAATACGAAAATCCCTAGTAAAAGAACTATGAGTGAAAAGAAGAAAATCTCACTTGAACATTTTTTTGATCTAAGTTTTAAGTTCTATTTTCCTTTCTTATGTTTGAAATTTTAAAAAATGTGTAATAAAATATTTATATAAGAAAAATTACATAATATGAACTAATTATTTCATATGTTCATAATATGTTTATAATGTTGATTATGATTTAATTTATGAAAATATTAATAATAATTAATTTTTATATGCTTAATAAAAAAACTACAATTTATAAACTTTTAATTTTTCTATATAATATATATATATATATTATATAAATACATATATTTTATTAAATATATAATATTTATTAAAAAATTAGATATATTATAATTATTAAATTAAATTTTATTTAATCAAAAATGAAAAATGCTTTATATCAATATAGCTATGTTAGATATTTGTATTAGATAGATTTTCATATGTATATTAATCTAATATATATTTAACGAGATGAAACACTGTATGTAAATGAAATGTGTTGCGTGATACATATTATAGATCGTAAATTTAATTATTGCTTAGCAAATTATTAATGCGAATTAGTAATAATCATAATCATCCTTTCATAAAATGTGTTAACATTTTTAGAAATAATTAATATTGCTATTTATTTATTTTTATGAAGATGAATTATATGAAATAAATTATACAATATAAATTTTTAACTTTTTATGAAATTGAATTCACTTTTTTATTTTGATCTAGAATTGTATAATAGAAGGTTAAACGTATTCTATTATACAATTAATAAATAATTTTTTATAGAAAATTTATAATATTTTTGGAATTCTATTACATTTTCTCAAATTTGATTATTTTATTTATATTATATACATGATTTTATTTATATTCAGAAATTCATGTTGTTAAGCATAAGTTACAAAATCATAAATCTGTTTAAATAGTAAGAATATTAAAATGAATATAATATTATTGTATTAAATATTCAACATGATAATAAATTATGAAACATATTAAACAAAAATTTTAATTCATTATTATAATAATTAAAAATAATTTATTAATGAAAGGAACATAACACAAATAATATTATTTATATAAAAAATTAATATATCTATACTACATCAATAAAGAATACAAAATAAATATTTTTATAATATTTATTTTATAATATTAATATTATATATATTAATATAATATTAATTTTTAT